AGGATAATGGGGGCATTTGGACTGGAGAGAGAGGAGGAAGGTTGGATGGGGAGAGAGAGGACAGATGAATGAAGTTTGAGTGGTGTGGGAAACCAGAGGGAAATGTGCTGGCTTGGGACCCTCCTGAGAAATACACATAAGGTATCTGAACATTAGTGCATGTGTATACCTGGGGATACTATGCAAGCTGCTATGGGAGAAAATCAATCAAAGGTCCAACCCAGCCCTAAAGCCCAATAACTGTAAGGACTGGCACAGCAAACTACCTCTATTAGTGTAGTAGCGGCACTGTTAAATGGGGGTGATGAACAGGTAACTAATTGAACTTAAAGCCCTCTCCTTTCAATGGGCGTGAACCATGGATGGTACTGTAACTAAAACCAAATATACATGGCTGGAGAGGACATAGTTCTTAGAGAAAACCTGATCTTTTTCATATCTCTAGACAAACGAAATTTCTTACCATATGCTAAAAATGGATCCTTATATTTACAGACAGTATACCATACACCAGTCATTAAAGAAGCTTTTTTTTTTTTTTTTTTTTTTTTTTGGTAACAGATGAAGGCAACTTCAGAGTTGGGCAACTGGTCACACACAGAGGATATACGTCTGAGAGATGCCCAGTCCTAGTTAACATATCCACAATAGAATCTCTACATCTAAGGCTCATGAAACATTGTTGAATTGGGGGTAGAGAGAATACTAGTGCATCCTACAATGCTCACTAATGAAGCTTCCTTAGACAGCAGAGTGAAAAGCACACAGTAGGCCACAACTGGCTAAGTTTTAGAGATTGCTGAGTGTGTGTTCCTGGATAGGACTCCTATGTTATCCTCACCTACCCATGGCTCAGGGACCATTGCGGAAAAGGAGCCAGAAAGATCATAAGATCCTGGGTTGGTCCTTGAACATACAGAAACAAACATAAACAGAGGTTTTCAGGCCACTGGAAGCTTCCTCATGTGACCTTGAGGCAATGGTGCAGCTGAGCATAAGACCTCTTTCAACTCAATCAGATAAGGGTCCAGAGTGGAGAAAGGGAAATGGGGTCAGGCCAGGCCTAGCCTGGGGATTTCTAGAGACTTATTACTACTGCATGAGGGAGAGTAGACCTTACTTAAGATCTCTAGATAGTTCGACTAGGCTCCAGTGGATGAACTTGCTCTGGAGGACATCTAGGCATAAATGATTGACTGGAAAGGACTTAACATGTATAGTGGAATCCATGAGGTCCAGTGGGGGAAGGGGGATAGGGACGCATGGATGGAGGAGGGGTTCTAAATCTGATTAGCAAATGTTGTATGAAATGTAGAAAAGCTTAATAAAAATATTTTAAAAAATAGTTACTGGGGACTAGACCTAGGACTTTGTACATTGTAGGCAAGCACCTTCCCAATAAGATACACCCCCAGCTCTGTTTTTACCTTTTGTTTTTCCTAATTGAGAAAAGGCACCACTGTCTGCCTAAACTGTCCCTCAACTTGCTCTATAGCCCAGGCATGTTTTGAACTTGTGACCTTCTTGCCTCAGTCTACAGTGTAGATGGGATTATGGGTCTGCACCATCAAGTCCTGCTGAAGTAATGGTGTTGTTTTGCAGCCTCTCCTGAATGCCTGAACTTATGGCTGCCAAACACTTGTCTATACCAGCCTGAGCCTCTCTTCTGTATCTTATCCTTTGGTTCCCTGGCTTCCTGAAAGAACCTTCTGGAGTCTGTGCTATCATTACAATTTCATATTTGCCTGATTTAGTTATATCCTATGCGTATCTTACCATATCACACACATCACTATTATCACACTTCAATATCATTTTGTAATTAACTATGTAAAAATTTAAGCCTCATGAAGATGCGTGTTCAGTTATCCTTTACTGGATTCTTAATATGTTGGAATTGTGCCTTCAAATAAGTGGTAACTCCAATAATATCTACTAAATGGATGAAAGAATATATCACTTATTTCCAACAGAAAACTCATTGCTTAGTACGTTTAAGTGGCTAAAGTGAACACTTTAGTCAAATGTCTAGTTAAATCTTGCTAAGCCAGGAGCCATATAAAGGATATTTGAAGTTAATGATGCTATATAAGTTGTACTGATTTTCTCGGTGAACACCTAGAAAGGGCAAACCCCTCTTTTACTGATTGCAAACTGTGTGTTCACTCCAGTTATCTGATAATCAGAAGGTGAAGACAGGGCAAGTGGTTACAAAGACTCTCAACCACCTATTCAAGAATGCTTTCTCCTAGTTGTTAACTAAATTGCTGTAACCATCTGCTTTATCATAAAGGGAACTACTACGGAAATGATGAATAGAAATTTTAATGAAATATAATCACATAGTTTTCTCGTGTAGAAAAATTACCTTTATTATGGTTATGTAAATATATCTTTGGATAAGAAGCATTCATTTTCCTGATGGAATTAGAAATTATATATTGATAAACATGAATATGAGAGTTTGAACTTAGAGAACTTTCATGAATAAAATAAAAATATTTAACACTGGTAAAACAAATGGGGAAGTTAAGTTAAAATATGAACAAATCAAAATATAAAATATTTATAGACACATCATTTTATGGCTTTCAAACTCATAAAGCATGCATACTCACAGGACAGGACTCGAGAGATTGTTCTGAGAGGATTATTCTAATAATAGATTAGAGAACTTGGCCTTCAACCAAACAGACCATTATTTGAGGAGAGTACTCAACTTTCATTTTCCCAGCATTCTTCTGTAGTTAGTCTGTAATCTTATTGATATTTGTGATTTATTTAAAATCTCTCTATTGAAAATTTTAGGATAAACTTTACTAGTAAGCGATGAAGTCAAAGATGCTTGGTTTCCATTCTGAATCCTTTACTCAAAATCACTTAATCATTCTAAGTACAATGTTTTTACCTTTCATGTGGGGAATTGACAGTTTTTACACGGGACCATATAAAGATCAAAAGAAAAAAATCTGAAGTGCTCAGGATAATGCAAAACACTCCAAAATCAGGTGAATTAATATTGTTACTGATGCTGTTAAAGAACAATGTAATACATAAGGAAGATACTTCTTTTGTTTTTCTAAAATTAACCCTGATAGCTAGAATTTCAAAACTTTCTCCCTTTGGGGGAGTGATGTTAGTGCTGTTTCACTGCTACCTTGAAACGTGGGGGTAATAGAATTAACCACTAAGTTATATTGAGTGTTTACTGTGTATAGGGCCGAGTGCCCTGCATATTTAAATCATTTAATTTTTTAACGTGTTTATATGCACATGTGGATTCACACACATGTATGCAAATACAATCTTGGGTGCTTTTTCTCAGATACTGACCACCTTGTGTGTGTGTGTGTGTGTGTGTGTGTGTGTGTGTGTGATGCTGTTTGTGTATGTGTGTATTGTGTATATGTGTTTATGTGTGTGCACATGTCTGTGTAAGCCAGGGCTCAATGTTGGGTGCCATCCTCAATCACTCTTTACTATATTTGTTGAGACAGGATCTCTTGTTAGTTAGAATGTCTGGCCAGCGAGCTCCAATAATCTGCCTGTCTCTACCCACACAGAGCTGGGATTATAGTTACACTAATGTGTTAAGCATTTATTATGAAGATATTATTCAGAATTTAGTCACTGCGATATTACCCCATTCTACCATCTTGTTGTTTGAGATGACTTCTCTAACTGGCCTTGAGTTTGCTAAGTATACTAGGCTACCTGGACCCAGGGATCCACCTTGCCATCTCTGGGAATTGTACCACCACACATCATAATGCTTTCTTGTTTGTTTCATTTGAACATAGGTTCTGGAGATAGAATTTATGTCTTCATTCTTGCAAGGCAAGCACTTTTCTGACTAAGCTGTCTCCTCAGGCCCTGACAGCTCGTTTACTCTTAACAAATCCTTCTATGTTGGTACTATCACGTCTACTTATACATGGGGAAACTGAGGCACAGATTGCTTAAAACATTAAATTAAGGTTTACTATATTGGAAAAATGAAGTTGTGGATTTAATCAGCCAAGCTAGGGTAGAGACATCATAACATGAACCGTGGAAGTGTTGCTTGCTTAAATGTATTTCGTCTGTTCAAATGTTGGAAGCTCATTTTCTGGTGGAGTATGCACATCTAGGAAGGAGTGCTCACATCACAGTCTGTTCCATACTCCAGAGTAACTAGGGTTTACATTTGTTGATGCTCCAAGAGTATTTATTCTCTCATAATTCTGAGTAGGTCATTTAAAACATCTGCAATTTAAGAACAATGACCACCTATCAACATTAATTCACATGTTTAATTGCTCCAAATTGAAAGATAAACAAAATAAGATCAATAGTAGTGGTTATACATGAGTATTGTGATCCATGGTTAATTTTATTTCTTGCAAAAATAAAATACCATTTTTGCATTTCTCTATTTAGATGTTTTCCTACTTCTATTTGGAACGTTTGCATGTACTATTCTTAGAATGAGAGAATATAGTATTTATTACGAAGATAGTTTTTAGGGTGTACAGTGCAACAACAACGGGGCAAAAAGAGGGAAAAGAAAGGAATCCAAGGAAGCAAGCAGGAGCGTCCACATGGAAAACCTGCAGCACAGGAGGTGATTGCCTGGCTGGAGCATGGGGAGGTTTGGGTCTCCTTACCTGGAATTAGGAAGCCACAGGGCCCCGGGAGCCCTAAGAGCAGGGGGCATGTTCACTTAAGGCAAAAGCAAAACATTTTACTGGTTAGAGGCTAGGAAATGAATTTCCAGATTTTCTGCATCTCTACCTTCATTATAAAGAAAATCAAATTATTCCAATGGACTATTTCTAAGATGAATTTGAAAAGCCTAATTCCATAATTGAGTATCTTACGAAACTGCTCTGTTTTGTTCAGGCCAGCTGGATAAAGTAAACTCTTTTCAAATAGACCTTTGAAGGCTACCAACAAGGGGCTGCCTTTTCTGTGGTAATTAATGCAGAGTTAAGAAAAATGCAAATTATTAAAAGCCATACCTTGACATGCAAATTTTTTGGAGGGAGTTGTGAGTAACAATTTATCTGCCATTTCTCCAGGACCAGCACAGCGAGCAATTCCAGGTTCCTTATACTCCGACTTCACCCAGTCGGATAACCACTGCATGTTACAATCACAGTAAAGAGGGTTGGCTCCAATTGCTCTGGAAAAACAACACCACGAAAGCACATACACACACACACAAGTATGGAAGTATTGTTATTTCCTAAGGGAACAGATTTCAATGTGATGCTCAGTAGAAAATCCCTAGGGATTTGTCGATGCTACCAAAATGGAAGATGGACACGCTGGGGATTCCCACTTTCCTGACTTTGGTGTATCCTGGATTCATAATGTTCACTGTTTCTTCTTCAAGAAGGTTTCATCTTACTTGGTGAGATGCACATACATCGAATTAAGCACACCCTAAGGGCAGGCTCCCACTTCCTACATCCCCGATTATTGACCGAGAACTCAGTCATCATGGCAATATGAACAAGGAATCATTTTTGACTCCAAAGAAGTCCTCTGAGTTAGCAAATGAACAGAGTGATCTTCATGAGAAGTTGCAGAATAGTATTTCTATGATGACAGTGAACAAACTGACTTCTCTAGAAGGTGCTGGTCTACACTACATAGAGTAGTTAAGTAGGTGGAAAAGATTGGGAAAGATGCTCAAGGGGGAGGACCAGTAAGTACAAAGCCAGAAATGAGGAACATCATAAAATCATAAAGACACAGGTAGCTGGTTTATCAGCTTATCTGGGACTCCACTGTTCTGTCATTTTCTGAAGTCTTTTAGAACCCTGTTTTTTAGTTACATAAGCAGTAATAGTTACAGAAGTCATCAAGATAATAGCTAACAATTATTATACTATTACTATCGGCAGAGGCCAGGCTATGCCATTTACACAAATTACCTCATTTTATTTTAAATAATAACTACATGAGGCCAATATTAGTACTAATGAACTTTAAAGATTAAGAACCTAAAACCAGAGAAGTTAATTACTGGGTTCATAAGCTCACCACAATTGGACACAAGCAGTGCACATGCAAATCACCTTTTCAAAATGGATGGGTTCTAACTTACAATTATCTTCTGATTAGTAATAGTTAGAGGTGTGCACTTTAATCATACTCTATCTTGTTCACTTTTAGGCGACCCCTAAAATATACTTGCAAAATTATAATACTTTATATTGTAAGAGTTTAAATGCCCAATTTTGCTCAAGAATTATAATGTAGTAAATGTTTCCCTTATATGTGTGTCAGATCCAAACCCTTCAAAATTAAAATTGAGCAAAATGATATTTTTGACTCATTTGCTCTTATCTAAGCTGACATTTTCAAATGCCCTACTGTGATAAGAGAAGGAAAGAGGAAAGGTGGATGGGGCAAATACTTTCATGGTCTTCAGGGTCAAAGACAAATATGGAAATGAGATACAGGCTGACTTGGGCACAGGACAAAGAAAGCTTGGCATGTATGGTTCTTGGGGGAGTCGCATAAAGGAACTTTCTCTCAGCTCAAGCAATGCCCTTCCTATGAGGTCCTTCCTGATCCATGACCCTGAGTCCAGCAGCAAGTCCTCTTCCTCCTTTACGCTGCATTGTGTCAGACAACAGCATAGCCACCCCTAAGACAAGGGCTTTCCTCCCACTGTATCTCATGTATGTGTCATCCATTCCGTTTGTAAAGGAGTAGCCTTGATGTTGACCTTGACTGAGAGAGGCACTGGGGCTAAAAGATGAAAACATAGAGGTCTTGCCTCTTGGAGCCTCATGGTCAAATGGAAGGAATAGGGACAGGAGACATTCATCTGATAGATCGATATACAAAATTCATGCTGATAACACAGCTTCCATAAAGCAAGATATAATATAACTGATTATTGGATATCCATCTCCTATCATCCCTCTTTCGGAATTTTCTAAATCTGTAAAGTTTTTGGAGTTTGTAGGTTTTACTGAGGCCCCACTGACTCAGCCAAGAGAACTCAGCTAAGGGAGACTACCAAACAGAAGAAGAGATCAAGTTTTCTCGTGGGTGTAAGTTGTCCAATTTGAAAATCTTCCTCTTTTCTTTAAAGATTAAACAATTTATGGCTTATGGTGTTACCACAAAGGAGTGGGAGGGCACTGTTCCAAACTCACTAAGGAGAGCATATCTGAGCCTAGACCCACATTCATTAGTCAGATACTCACAAGTGTGATAAGGCAGAAAGATCACTGAAAGCACCTTCAGGCACAACAGAAATGTCATTTCCATGTAGAGATCTATGAGAGAAAAAAAATGCAAAATGAACTTTCCTCTATTTTAGAGAGCTCAGAAGAATATTTAT